TATAAGGTTCTATCGAGCGCATTGAGTGAAAGATTAAATTCCACCGTCAACAAACCGATTGGACCTTATCAGTGTGGCTTTAGACCTGTTGATTACAACCGACCAGATATTCACAATGCGCAAAATCTTGGAAAAGACCCGTGAAAGGACCTCTTTGTCGATTTCAATGCTGCTTTCGACAACATGAAAAATAGCTGAATTTGGTATTCTCGCAAAACTAATACGACTGTGTTAACTGACGTCGAGCAACACCAAAAGCTCCATCACAATCGGGAAGGACCTCTCCGAGCCGTTCGATACCAAACGAGGTTTCAGACAAGGCGATTCCCTATCCTGCGACTTCTTCAAAGTGCTTCTGCAGAAAATAGTTCGAGCTGCAGAACTAAATAAAGAAGGTATCATCTTCTACAAGAGTGTACAGCTGCTGTCGTATGCCGATGATATTGATATTGATATTGACCCACTGTTGATACATAGTTTCGTCAATCTGGGAACTAGCGTAAACACCACCAACAATGTCAGCCTGGAAATCCAACGCAGGATAACTCTTGCCAATAGGTGCTACTTCGGACTGAGTAGACAATTGAGAAGCAAAGTCCTCTCTCGACGAACAAAACCAAACTCTATAAGGCACTCATAATTCCCGTCCTGCTATATGGTGCAGAGGCGTGGACGAGGACAGCAATGGATGAGCCGACGTTGTGAGTTTTCGAGAGAAAAGTTCTGCGAAAGATCTAAGGTCCTTAGCGCGTTGGACACGGCGAATATCACATTCGATGGAACGATGAGCTGTAGGAGATATATGACGACATTGACATAGTTTAGCGAATTAAAAGACAGCGGCTACATTGGCGAGGTCATGTTTTCCGAATGGACGAAGACACTCCAGCTCTGAAAGTATTCGCCGCTGTACCTGCGGGGGAAGCTGGGGAAGAGGAAGAGCTCCACTCTSTTGGAAGGACCAGGTGGAGAAGGATCTGGCTACGCTTCGAATATCCAATTAAGAAGAAGAAGAGTCCAATAAAAAGTGATATCAGCAAAATAACAAACCTTCAAAATCTAAATTAGTCGTTGGTTGTAGATCGCTGGCAGAGATAAAGAGAACCCCAAYTCAAATTTGACAGTTGACTGGATTTAGTAGGTTTTGACGTTTTGCAAGTTTAATGACTACAACGGCCAGATTGAAATTATACCAAAAATATATATGAACAGAGGAATAGGTTGCCGCCGTTCAAGCTCGCTAATAAAAATTTAAAACAATGAAAATAAAAGAAAATGCGAAATTTATATTTCATGAAACGCTTTACAAAGTAGAATTATTTTTCAATTACAAATCATTAAAAACATTCATTAATTGAGAACTAACAGGTTAAGTATTGAAAGTTCAAAAGTTAGTTGCTTTAATATCTTCTTTCTTCTTAATTGGCGTAGACACCGCTTACGCGATTTTAGCCGAGCTAACAACTGCGCGCCCGTCGTTTCTTATTGGCGCCAATTGAATATTCCAGGCGTAGCCTGGTCCTTCTCCACCTGGTCCTTCCAACGGAGTGGAGGTCTTTCTCTTCCTCTGCTTACCCGGCGGGTATAGCGTCGAATACTTTCAAAGCTGGAGTGTTTTCTTCCATTCGGACAACATGACCTAGCCAGCGTAGCCGCTGTCTTTTAATTCGACACTATGTCAATCTCGTCCAATATCTCGTACAGCTCATCGTTCCATCGAATGGCGATATTCGCCGTGTCCAACGCGCAAAGGACTATAAATTTTTCGTAGCACTTTTCTCTCGAAAACTCGCAACGTCGACTCATCAGTTGTTGTCATCGTCCAAGCTTCTGCCCCATATAGCATGACTTGAATTATAAGTGACTTGTAAAGTTTGGTTTTTGTTCGTCGAGAGAAGGCTTTGCTTCTCAATTGCCTATTCAGTCCGCAGTAACACCTGTTGGCAAAAGTCATGCGTTGAATTTCCAGGCTGACGTTGTTGGTGGTGTTTACGCTGGTTCCAATATAGACGAAATTAGCAACGACTTCAAAGTTATGACTGTCAACAGTGACGTTAGAGCCAAGCGAGCGAGCGCGACGACTGTTTTTTGATGACAGGAGATATTTCGTCTTGCCATCGTTCACTGCCAGACCCATCGGCTTTGCTTAATTGTCCGCCAACAGCTTATATATATTCTTATAGAAGATGATACCTTCTCTATTTAGTTCTGCAGCTTGTTTTAATATACCATAAAATAATAAAAGAGAATTTAAGTAGTTTCACGATATACTAAAAGTCCAATATATAATAATTTGTAGTCGTAAAGATGTTGGGCGTTTTAATTTAAATAACCAAAAATTCTTATTTTGTTCGATCTGGCCATAATGGAAAATGTAATAAAAAAGGCTTATTTTGAGGCGCTCTCACATTGGAATAAGTTGAACACCAAATTATCCCTGTCGCTGATTCTAAACTTCAACACACCTGAATACCGCGGTTTGGATTCTCCGGTTTGATAAGCAGACTTTGTTAATTTTCTGCCTTTTACCCGCCTATTATATGAACTATATATGTATGTTCTTATACCAAATTTGATTGTAATCCATTCACGATTTCGTTGAATAATGTATATTAAATTCAAATCAATAGTACCCATGAATATTTTTATATCATATTTATTTGGAAGCACTGCTAACAGTGCATTCTTCAAAGTACGTTTTTCATCACCTCGATCGATTCGCGGAAAACTGTTTTTATTGTTTTATAAACTAACACATGTTCAATTGTTTCAATGACGTGTTTAATTCGATCAGTTTTATTTGATCTTCTTAATATGTTACGTCCCTTAAAAAAAGAAGTATAAGTGCTCAACATAAGGATCGTTTTGAAGCAATCTTTCTAACGAAACATCCTAAAGGTGGCAAATGGACTAAGCCGACTGCGAAATATTTATCATTTTATTATTTATTTATATTAATATAACATAATAATGAGAAAATATTATATATGTGCAGATTTCTCTCTATTTCATGGATTTAATACTAAGTTGAAAAATAAATATAAACTAAGCTGGCTGAACATATGGCTAAGTATTCCGATCTTTTATTTTCCGTCTTTTCCCACAGTTTGATGCAATGGAGAATGGAATTCAGGTTTCAAAGTTAATGCAAATATTCTCCAAACAAGCTAGTATGATAGACGCCCTTATCTCACATTTTACTGAACAGATTCGAAAACTTAAAGTTAGCGAAAACATATGCGATCAATATCATACAGGTAAATTTTGTAATATTTCTTATATTAAGTAACTTATATTATAGGTTCTACTGGTGGCGCCATCTATATGTCGACTAGTGCATTAGAATCTGCTATCTTTATCGATTATTCAGTGAGAATTTCATGACAGTTATTGCGTTTTAAGTGTCAGTATGTTTGTGTTATCGTTGCGAAAATGAGCTTCGAACAATGAGCCAACATTAAATTTTGTTTTAAAATTGGCAAAACTTTTACCGAAACATTTTAATTGATGAAACAAGTTTATGACGATGATTCCCTGTCCCGTATCAGAGTACACGAGTGGCTTCAACGTTTTCGAAGTGGTCGTGAGGACATAAATGACGATCAACATGTTGGCAAATCAAAATCCGTGATCACCGGTAATTCCATCGAAACTGTGCGTGAATTCATCAAAAATCAGCYGAAATCATCATTGAAATTCATGGAAATGGAATTGACCATCTCCAAAACGTCGATTTATCGCATTTTGACCGAACATTTGTGCTTACCAAAGGTGTGGGCACGGTTTGTTCCACACAAATCGACTGATGACCAAAAATTGATGAGAATCCAACATTCGAAGGACGATTATTTGACCAAAACTCACATTTTAACCATTAATCACTCCCCGTATACACCTGATATGGAACCGTGCGACTTCGTCCTTTTCGAAAAATGCATTTGCCATGTTATGCAGACGAAGAGGCCATTCAAAAGCCTTGCAGTGGTATACTGGCGACCATACCGGCCAACAAGCTAAAACACTCGTTCGACAAGCTTTTGGACCGTGGAAAAAGCTGTATTGATCCAGAACTAGACTATGTTGAATAAAATAAATTGATTTTGCCCAAAAACCATTTGTTATTTTTTGGTTTAAAGTCCTGTTTACTTTGGAACACGTCTTTTTGTTCCAAGCCCGAGATATTTATATTTGTATTAAAATAAAACTAAGTAAAGCAAGTAACATTTTATACTCTTGCAACTTGCAAGAATCAGAGCCCGGAAAATTCCTCCAAGTTTCGGCAAATCTTTACTATATGTATTTTAAAAAATTTTGCGAAAGCATTGAACATCCGAAGGATAACCAATTCCATTTTAAAAAATTCTCCAAAACATTCAAATATCACAACAGTTTAAATACAGGTGAAATTAAATCATTTTATGGGGTATATTGCGGCGGAAGGGTATTCGAAGACATATTTGCAAACAATTTTATACAACTATGTATATTCGGCATAGAATATTAAAATCATTATAATAAATATATGGGAGTTGGGATAATTCGACCCTATTCTATCTATTTTTGTTAGTATTACATACTAATAACCTGCCACATACCACTAAAATGTCCCATCAAAAGTCATATAAAATCATATGGAGTAAAGTCAGCTGGATGTTCGAAAATCCTTAAATGGGAGCAAGGTCAAGTTTTCGTCCAATGTTATTCATTTGAAGCACAAAAAGAGACTGTAAAACTTCACTTCCTTAATTTTCATTGAGATAACTCGCATATGGATCGATGTGTGCGATATAAAATCACCCGAAATTCGAAAATCCTTATATTAGATATATGAGAATCAAGGGAGGTATTAACCCGATCCAAACCAGTTTGACACTATTTCAGGAAGTGATTCTCTCTGGGTTTCTGTTATATATCCATATCTGTAAGGGTTTGGTCATAAAATTACACACCTCAGAGGCACTATTCGTGCAAAGTTTTATCTTGTTGTATTAACTGCTCCTTGATTTATATACTGGAAAGTGAAACATTCAAATAGAATTTAAAATTCGGGAACAACCTCGCCATATAAGTGTCATAGGAATGTTATATGACTAGTTTGGATGAAATTGGTTGAATATATCCCAAGTTGTAAGACTGCACCTAAAAATGGGCAATCCAATATTTAACTAAACATAGGTTGGAATACAAGCTCATTATTTTTTCTAAGGAATACGTGTTCCAAATTTCATCCATATATCTCAATTTTTACTCAAGTTTCAACTTGAACAGATACCCGGATTTGAGCTCGCCCCGTCATCTTGATCTTGCATAACAGTATACCTATCTCGATTCGTTTTATATGATACAAACAACCGTTAGGTGAACAAAACCATTGCATTATACTCTATTGCAGGAGTATAAAAAGAAAAGCGAAGGAATTCAATATTCAATATATAGTATATAGTAGGGGAGCCTGGAGTCCTAATTCGCAGTTACTGGAGCGTCATGGATACTTACTAGATTGCCAAGATAACGTTAAAAAAAGAAAGTCTAGGTGAAGTTTTTCATTTTAGTGGGGGGAAGAGCGGGGAATTAATTTCGAAAATGTAGAAAAAAACTGTCACATAAAAATACTCAAGCGCGTCAATCGTTTATGGTATATACGCGCATTGYATTTCTGATAGTTGATATATATTAATCTGACAATCAATTCAAGGGGGAGGGCCGTAATGAGAGGTTAAATAAAAAAAAAGTTACTCGAGCGGGTCCGATTTTCAAGGGGAATGTTAATGAACCTCTAAAAAGTGTGACATTTAAATTTCTGACAATTTCAGTCGTGACTGATTTTAAAACTTTTTAAAAAAAAGTGACCTTGAGATACACGAGCGCGTCAGATTTTTATTCAGGGTAATGAACTTGATGTCAAAGTCTTCCCAAAAGATAATGTGACAATTATATAGAGGGACATTTTTAATCTGTCGATTTTAAAGTGGAAGAATTCTGTTTGGTTCTTGTTTTTGTTACAGGATGTAATAAAAACAGTGTATTCATATATATATATGTACAGAAAATTGAATAGTTTATTAATATTAAGATTAATGAAAAAAAAACATGTAAATTTTGGTCATTCGAGTCATCGTCGAAGTTGGTTTCCACTTCTTGAACATCCTTTCTTTTTTAACTCTTTTATAACAGTATAGTCTTCAAAAAAAAAAATGTACCTGCATCAGA